TGGTTGGGTTTTTATTTAAAGTGACGAATCCAATGGGGGAAAGAAAGAAAAAGCGAAAACTGAAAGGCGTAGGTCATCCACCTACAACTTTTGCTTTGCCAGTTCGCTACTTTAGAGATGCATTGCCCTTGCTTGCAGCTGACTGATTAAAAGAGTTTCAGATCACTTAATTTTTTAAACAATCAAGATTATGTTGGATTTTGTCAAGACTAACCAATCAGGCTCGTCCTAGTAAAAACTTTTCGTAAGAAACCACCCACCATTTCACAAGAAAACATCATATACTAAAATGACAAGAGAACATAGAAATAACACACAGCAGGACCATTTCTTCTCCTTTTTGCTTGGTTCTGTTAAGAATAACTTGCACCCAAAAAATCAATGTCTAAAACACAAGGCACAACGTCTCCTCAATTAGGACTTCCGTCTCATTTGAAACTACGGCACACGACACAGATCCGAGAAGCAGGCTGCATTGTCCCGTCTTGACAGGCCTTGAGCAAGCAACCCAAGCAGTTTCAACAGCCTCATTTTCACAATTCCTGTATTCCATCTACCGCTTTTTCATCTTGGGAGAGAAACAAAGAGGCTTTTTTTTTATTTAATTTTTCTCATTCTTCTTTTTGGTACATAAAGAGGTATAAAATGATCTATGAACAAGAAAAATCTGAAACACTACAGATATAAAGGAAACTAAAAAGATGGAACTAAAACAATAATCAAAAGGGCATTTTAATATTTGACACACGGATAAAATCCCATTAATCAAACAGCATTCCCTTCAACAGAGTTCGACAAAAAAAGGGTAAAGAAGATGAAGCCAAGGAGACGTAATCGGAGAAGCTTTTTGGGCCATTCCCCATTATGTTCTTAACTTAAACAGGATCAACAAGCATTACAAACTATATATTGCATACCACAATGCAATTAGATCCAGGATATCTATATGACCTTGAGAGCTAGAAGTAGGTACCCTCAGGAGGTTGGACCAGCTTTCGGTTATGCGGGGCTGCCATCTCCTTTTTCAGTTGTGTCAGTATATCCTCCATTGTATACTCCCTCTGCCAATTTGCGAGAAGTCCAAACTTCTTTGGTTCCACCTGTTGCCATTGGATACCATCAAATTCTTGTCACTAGGTTTTCTGTCATCATACTAATAACAATATAAAAATACAGTTGCAAAAATCAGGATGCCCTGGATTGTTGGAATACTTATGAAATTATTAGTACCTGAGTTTCATTCTACATAAAAAAAAAAAAGGGGAGGGCGGTGTTGTTTACTAATTTATTCAACAGAACATGCTAGTGAATGGTTAAATAACCACTCAATGATAAGCAGCAAAAGATAACCAACATATGTTACGAAATAAAAATAAACTGATCATTTGCACCACGAAAGAATGTAAAATTAATAGTATACCACTCCAGTTTCATGGTTAACGCAAGTCATGTTAATCCTTGAGTGAAAACGGACACTTGGTGGCTTCTCTGGATAATCTTTATCGCAGAACAGCTTCAGCTGATAGATTCGACCTTCATGTACAGTCTGACAACAGTAAAAATAATAATCACCACAAAGAAAGAAACAGAAATACACGTACAGAATGGTCCTGTTAAAAATCCCCCAGCAAAACCAATTGTTCACTTCAAAAGCAAGAGATCAGGGTAATCCCAAAGACAAGCACCAGGATACCACAATGCTAATTATTTGTAAAATGAAATATGAGCAACAATAAGATAGTAGGGTAATCCTTCATATAAATTTTAGCCCCTTGGCTTAATAACCTTAAAAAAATCTGAGAAAAAGTTTAAGTTCTCTGTTTTTTGTCAAAAGCTTAGTTTAATACTCAATGCTTCAGAAGATTCACAGATGATTGTCCACACAAACACATAGTTTCATCTAAAGGAACAATATCAAAATATATAATTTGTTGACAGAACAATAAGCAATTACATTGTGAGGACCAATAATGGTGCCAGTCCAAGAGCGCATGTAAATGTCATCTCCATCATCCATTCCATAGCTGACAGTACCATCTCCGATTCCTTTTTCTCCACGCTCAAGCTCCTCCAGCAATCTGAAGTTCCGAGGCACTGCCAAAAGAACTTATACTACTCAATAACATTCATGATCTATTATGCTAATAGCATAAGAATTCCTAGCATTAGGCTTATTGTCAAGCAATTTCCATCTCCAAAGTAAGTCGTGAAAAGTAATTAACCTGAGTGCCATAAGATCTCTTCCATTTCAGTCATGTTAACATTATTCTTTTGAAAGGATCATGTTAACATTATTTCCAACTCATTGCCTAAGCATAATCATATTAGACCTGCCATAGATTAATTATTTGTCTCACTTAGATTCAATGATCATGGATAAGCCAGCTCCCAGATATTCTTATATATCAGATTAAATCGGGGGCAAACTTGTACTAGTTACATTTTATTCTAACTGCAATTATTGTTAAATATTGACAATAATCCCTAGAGATTCAATAGTAATGACACTTAGCAGCGTACATATTTTTGGCACTATATCAATAAGCAATTAAATTTGGCACAAAGTTCTCACAGTTCCAACCTGAATTAATCTGGACTACTTAATTGTTTCTAAGACATTAATGGACATTTAGAGAACATCCTAAGAATCCGGTTATTACAATCTCCTCCAGCTCAAAGTTCACCTTTAAACCTCAACAAAGTTTGACGGTCCAGGTAGTAAACAAGGAAAAAGAAGTGACATCAATAATGACAAGAATGACTTGTCTCTAATGTAATTGTATTTTAAAGGACTCCCAAAATGTGCAAGCACCAACAAAATGCGAAGTTATGAAAAGCTATCTATACGCAGATATGTCTTGTCCTTCGATATGGTAACTGTTCAATTAAGGTACAAATAATTTACCATGTACTCCTATAATACCTTAAAAGAAGATTGTGAAGTCACCTATAAAGTCAAGGACTACACAACTTTCAGTAAGATTACAACTCTTACAAGCCTAAAGCAGCAACACTTCTATACATCAAAAGAACAACATAATCATCAATGCCTATATTGTAAAATAGTGACAATAATATCTAGAGATTCAATAATAACAACACTTAGCGGTATACAAATTTTTGGTACTATAGAAATAAGCAATTAAATTTGGCACACAGTTCTCACATTCTCAGCCTGAATTAATCTGGACTTCTTAATTGTTTCTAAGCCATTAATGGACATTTAGAAAACATCCTAAGAGTCTGATTATCACAATCTCCTCCAGCTCAAAGTTCACACTTAAACCTCTATAAAGTTTAACAGTCCAGGTGCTAGACAAAGGAAAAAGAAGTGACATCAATAATGACAAGAATGACTTGTCTCTAATGTACTTGTCTTTTGAAGGACTCCCAAAATGTGTAGGCACCGACAAAATGAGTAGTTAAGAAAGGCTACCTATAAACAGATATGTCTAGTCCTCCGATATGGTAACTGTTGAATTTAGGTACAAATAATTTACCATGTACTCCTATAATAACTTAAAAGAAGATTAATGAAGTCACCTATAAAGTCGAGGACAACACAACTCTCAGTAAGATTACAATTCTTACAAGCCTAAAGCAGCAACACTGTTCTACACCAAAAGAACTCCATAATCATCAATGACTATATTGTGTAATTGTAAGAGAAAAAAAGTAGCAAAAACACAAAGACATGCACATTTTCCATATTCTTTACGAAAAGATATTACACGCATAATATATTCGAACAACTACTAGAGCTCAAATCATCAAACATTCATATAAAGTTTTCAGAAAGCAAGTTTCCTGAGGAGTTTAGAATTTGTTATACATAGGGCTTGTCAGCAAGAGAGAGAGAGTAATTCAAATGATAATCATTCATAAACCATAACAGAATATTCATCATGAAACTAAAACATCATAAGATAGCCCAAACTAAATACTTTAAATTGCTAAATAGACACTCAATCTAGGCAAAAACATTTATATTTACATTGACTATAAAATTAATGAACACAAGCCAAAAACCCAACAAAAACAAAAATTTACAGCTACCCAAAATCTTAAATAAATAATAAACCCATAGAACGATAGAAAAATTGAGGGAACCCATCAATTTCTTAATCCATTTAAATTAAGCAAACCCAAAACTAATATGTAATCATATATGTGAAAGAAACGATGAAACAACAAAATCTGTGAGAACCATGAATAGAATCTAGGAATGATTAATAAAAACGCAAGATCAAGTCGATAAACAAAAGGAGATAGAAATAAAGAGAAGGGAGAAGGGGATCGTAGGGCTAACCCACGACACTCGATCCTCCCGAGCCAAGCGTCATGGGTGGTTGACTGGAGGGTTTTTTTTGATGGGTTTGGAGAGATCTGATCGAGCAGAGAGAGAAAGAGAAAGAAATTTGAGTGAGTGAGAGAGAGAGAGAGAGAGAGGGAGAGACAGAGAGAAAGAGAGAGAATCTGGGGAAAGAAAGGCGACTACAAGCAAAGGTAGGGGATGGGGAGAATAAAACGAAAATTTTAGTTTTTTTTTTTTTGGTCAGGGAATTAGAAATAGTATATGTAATATTTTTTAGGTAAAAATTTAAAAACCTCTCGTAAAGGGAAAATGAAAATGAGCAAGAATATCACACTAGTGGATTTGTATTTTGGTAACACTCGATTTCATCCTCTAGCGCTGCTTAATGGGCTTTTCACTTTTGAGAAAACATGGCCCATCATAATTTTCCTTTTTTGTTTTTACCCTTTTCTTTTTACACCAATGGTACTTACTAAATTGCGTATGAAGTGTTTTACAAACAAAAATTGAACATACTGGTTTTCTTTATTTTGATTAAAACTAACAATTTTTTTCATTTAATTCTATCATAGAAATGTTTTTTCCTATGTGATAAAAATCAATAAATTAAAGAATAGATAATGGTGGTTTCTTTAGATTGTTACTCTAATTTGAAAGTAATTCAAGTAAATCTTAAATTTATTATAAAATTCAATAGAAAAAAAGCAATAAAGTTTATAAAAGTAGTTTTGTCTTATAAATGTTTCACAATCTTTGCTTTCAACTGTTAATGATAAATCAATATTGATATGAGAAAAATTAGACTTGAACTATTCACTTAAATGTAATTTAAGTAAATCATAATTTTATCATAAATCATGAACTTCTCTCCCAAAAATGTCGAAAGAAGTCAAAAGTAACTCTTAAAGAGTGCAGAGACAGTAGCTGATATGCGTCCAGTGTCTATTTTTCCTCCAACTTTTCTTGAAAAGCCACCACCATTTTGTTTAATGCAGAAACCATTCTTAATCTCTAGGTGTTGATAGTTTTGAATATTAATGGGCTTCCTCTTCCCACCTTAGCAACCAAGAAAATGTTCAAAAAGTATATGATATTAATAATAAATTGTACAAGGTTTTTCTGGTAGGAAGAAAAGACATGTTGTAATAAGTATTTGATTTGTAATAAGCGAAGCGGAATGCAGTAGAGGTAGCAAAAAGGAAGACTAAAGCAAACCTTGAAATGTAAGTACTTTGTACTTTGATGGCAAATGGTGAAGAATAAGAAAAGGTGGAGAAAGCAACAGTGGATGAAAAGAACTAAATAGAGAAAGTAGTTGAAATAGCTTTTAGAGAATTTTGAGGATAGTTTTTACTAGATTTCTAATAATTTCTCATTACCTCCCAACCTCCAAGACTTTCATATTTATACTAAGCATGAGCACTTTCTTAGGAATAATTGGGAGAACATGTTCAATCATGGGAGAACATACTTTTCATGGAAGATTAGTTAAAGAACAACTTATGGGATATTAAGAGAATGACTACATAGTTGGATAATGGATGTAAGTTTTGGATAATGGAGTAAAGACACTTAATAGTGTGCCATATGTATTCTCAAGGAAGAAAGAAATAAAAAGGGGTAAAGCACATATACTTAAAGAAAATGTTAAAAGGAAGTCCTCTTAACTATATTTATATCTAAGCCATTCAGCCAAGCTTTCTAGAACATTTCAATCGTAAGAATAACTCATGAACTCTACCACTCGTTTTAAGTTACTTTCACTTCTCCGTTTGAAATAGCTGTTTCATGCTTGTTCCTATTCTATAGCACAACACTTCAAGAAATAATAGTTAGCAAAAATTAAGTATCTACTTTTTACGCATTGCACAAAAATTCTTATAAGAAGGTTTATGCATAAAATAAGAAGATGCACATAGAATAAGTAGGGCAATGCTTTTATATATTTTTTATTGTTCAAAGAATAAAAAATAACTTGCAGAGTTATGTATATATTTATTGTTATTGTTGTTGTTGTTATGCATTACACACTTGGGAATGTCCCTGGACGCTTTTGCACTTGGAACGCCTTTAAGAACTTTTGTGCTTAGAGCGACCCTGGACGCTTCCACACTTAAAATATCCTTGGGTGTTTTCCGTGTTTTCCCCCTTTATGAAAATTTTATTTTCAATAATAATTAAATTTCATGCAAAAAATCACATCAATTGTTTTGTTGAATTAAAGTCTTACAACTCTAGCTTAAAGCAAGTCAATCCGTGCACCAAAGAATCTTGATCTTGCCATCAATCTTCAAACCCTTGATTATCGGTTGGAAAAGAACCAAAGAATGATAGTGCCAAGAATGAGAATGAGAAGAATGATGTAGATGGCATTCTCGGTGAATTTAAGGTGAGATTATTTTTTTAAGATGTGTGTGAAAGGGGATTAGTGTTCAACATTTCGTTAAAAAAATAGAATATTTCTCCTAAAAGCAATGATTGTCCAGGCTTAGTGAAATGCAAAAGATTGATCAATGTTAATATGGCATATTCTCATCTTTCAAAAATAAGCCCTGTTGTGTTATGTAAGCTTATGATGGAGGTTTTCCCATAGACTGACATGCTAGCTTAGATTTTAAATTCTAAAGTAAAGTATGATTAGATTTGAATTTTTTTTTGAACGCATGATAATAAGTATAAAAAGTTTTCCTAAGAAAATTTAAAGTGTTAAACTCATACTAGGAAAATAATTCTTTAAAGTTTACTTGAAACATTTTTGGATGCTTCTGCATTTGGAATGTTCCTAGGTGTTTTTGCACTTGAAACACACTCGGGTGTTTCCACACTTGGAACAACCCTAAGGGCTTTTGAGCTTAAAGTGACAATAAGGGCTTCCATGCTTGGAACAACCCTAAAACACTTAACATAGTTTTTTTAGACCCTTGCATGAAAATTTTATTAAACATAAAACTTTCATGTATAATTGGAATATTGGATTAATATCAAACATGTGCAAATGAATCTATTGATTTATATATAAAAAAAGTCCTCTAGATAATAAAGAGATCATAGCCTTTTAATGATAGCATGTTGGATATTATAAAAATTGATTTGGCAGACTACTTCATGCCGCTAATTTATGAAAAGGTTAGGGGACTTGCAGCCAACTTTGTTAAATATGACAAGGTGATTTAAATCTGGATAAAGTGCTTGAATATTGCAATCATTTCCTAACAAAACCAACATTTGGAATCTATGGAAGGAATTGTATAGGCTTCGAATGACTTAAAAACATAATGTTCAATTTTTTTAAGGTATTTGTCTAAGTTTTACTTAACTCCTTTTTTTTTTGTCTCTAGTAAAAAAGCAAACTACATTAAGCATTTAACGGCCGCATAAGTATCAGTAGAAATTGAAACCACATGCTCCACATATAAGCACTCAACCATATTTGTCATCTCATGATCACCTTTCGGCAATGTAAGCAGCATCAAACAAGGAACACTCGAATTTCTCGATTCACTTTTAAAGGCATCAACTAGTTCTGATGCTACATCTTTAACATTTTGAAGATGCCTTCAGTTAAAAAAAATTCTTTAGAAGAGAAGATTTCCTTACATGATAAGCAATCAGTTGAATGTGATCCATACTTATCTTGGAAAAATCTTTCTACTACAATGCCAGATTTGGAAGTGGTAGCTATTAAGCTAGTATTTCGTTTACATCATTTACGACTAACTATTGATATCTATCTCCACAACTCTTTTCAAACTTTCTATACTATTTTTTAGTATGATAATAGGAAAAGTTCAAGATAAGAGAGAGAAGTAAAGATATTGGAAAAACAATGAGATGTAGAAAAGGACTTGATATGAAAATTTAAAGTGTTAGATTCTTACTGGAAAAATAATTTTCTAAAGTTTATAAATATGAGAGAATAGTTCTGTAGAAATTTACAATCAATCTCGAAAGCTTTTCTCTAAAATTTCTTTGAACAAGTAAGTTCTATTTACAATAATTTTATTTATTTTATTCTTTTTGTTTTAATTGTCGTAGGAAAAGAAAAGGAAAAAACTTTTTTATTGCTACTTTAAATTCCCATGTTGCAGCACAACTTTCTCTTACAAAAGAATACTAACTTGTTATTTTTTTTAAAGTAGGAGTATTTATCTATTTTTATCTATTTTCTATTTATAGAAAAAAAAAATTTTTATTATTACATTATGCAGCTACAATTATTAATATTCCAAAGGCTCACTACAACATATCACACAATGATAAAATATCCAAGTTTATATATATATATATATATATATATATATCAAAGAATGCATAATTTTTGGTCAAAAAGTAATCTAGAAGACAGGGAAACTTTGATGCTTTGTATGGAAACAAGGGGTTCAAAGAGTAAACTTAAATTTGGTTTATCATCAAATTGTAGGAATAGGTATATCTATTATATAAATCACTTGTTAAATCTTAAATTGCATGTCAATGTTCAACTTTGGAATGTAGATAAAAGAAAAGGTTATCACTTTAATGTCTTTTACATCATAAGATTATAACTCTTTTAATAATATTGTTCAATATTTTAAGATATTTAAGCTATGTGAAAAAAAAATTAATATGGAAAATAAAAAAAGTAAAAATTTAGGCCTTACTAGAAAGGAAGGAAGACATGATTTTGGGACTAGTAATAATCCTAAGGAAATATAAACATTTGACTCATGACAGCTATGTAGGCTTTAGAATAAATGGAAGTTTCAACAATTTTGATTTCTTCATGTTTTTTAATGATTTATTGCATATACATGCATTAGTATATATTAACAATTTTTTTCTTTTATTATTGCTGCTAACTTTTCCTGGAGTTTATTTGTATGTTTAGTGATATATATATGTATATGTATATTTTTATTTGTCTTGTTTGGCATAAAAATAGGAATAAACAAACAAATATAGGGCAAAGGTAAGAACAAATAAATAAACATGAAATATTACTGTAATTTTGAAGGACGTAATAATGTATAGGTAGAAATGATAATGGATGAATACTTATCCAGTTATTTTTGTCATTTGTAGGAATTTTGTAGCCTTATCTTGGGACCAAGACTCATTTTACCCCAAAAGTTCACTATAGTGAACCTGGTAGGGCTGCTTTGGGAAAAAAAAAAGAAGAATACTGCTATAACTTCTCTTTCTAAGAAAATACAA